TAGAATTACAGACAAAATTTTTTCCACTTCAACTTCTACCCAACGGCTCGGACCAAATACACACACCTCTTTCAAGTAGAAGACGCACTCTATTGTTACACGACGGGAGGCGTGCTCAAGTGACAGACTCGCCGGATTTTCACGCCAACAATATATTAAAAAATTGCCAATAATTTATTAAGAATGAAATAAAATTTATATAATTAGTAAATATAAGGAGTTTTTCAAAAGTAATTTAAAAAAATTTGAGATATAAAATAATTGTTTATTTAATTATATAAAATATTTAAATTATATTTTATTATAGGAGTCTATTAATATATAGGCATGAAAATTTATAAAAATAGTTATAAAATTTTTAGCTTTATAACTAAAACTTCCAAAATTATACTTATGGATATACAGTATATACAATATATCATTTATTAGAAATTATGAAATAATTAATGATTTATTTTAAAAATCTATGAAAGTCATCATAAGGCACATATTAAACAATCTTATTATTTAAGTAATAAAAAAAATATTGAAAAACAATTAATACAGAACATAAGTATATAAATTAATTAATAAACTTTTAATATATTTAACAATATTATATATTTTTAGAATTGAAGAAAAATAATAATTAATAAAATCATCTTTTATCTAAAAAAATAATAATAATAATAGTTAATAAAATCTTATAAAACTTTAAAGAACAAGTAATTATTTCAAAAGTATTTATATTTTCAAATAAACTATAGGAATTTGAATCAAAAAATTTAAATAATTTGATAAATAAAATACTTCAAATTCTTTTGAAAGATAATAAAAATCATAAATAAGGATTTAAAAATTTAAAAATTTTTTTAAAATTATACTTTAATTTTTTTTTTTTTTTGTAGGTAAATATTATTTCTTTATTTGATTTGTATATAGCATAGTATACATCGTAAAAGAAACAACATTTCTCATATATTAGTACAATAAGTTAAATGCTAGCTTGCCTACAGTAACTATATGACTAATATTAAAAAGAAAGTTTAAAACAATATATCTTGTCAAATGGCACTGAGCAGCTATGAATACCTATTCAGCATTAGGTGAAATAGAGTTAATATTAGCAGATAGAGTTGTTAAGCTATAAATATATTTGGAGTAATTATATTTAGATTGGATAAATGAATTGGTGACAGTAGAAGGTAAGTCAATAATAATGTTTTCTTGTGAGTTATTGAAGTTGTCTTTGGTTTGTGAGGTTTTTTTGGTTTCTGGATTGGTGGAATTTACTGAATTGTGTAATTTAGTATGGTTTTACTTGATTCCAGTAAAAGATGAAGTGTTGACTGTGAAGCAACATGGTTTCCAAATTAGGTCATGTAACAAGGTTAAAGATTCTGTTGCTGCCTTGATCCAGTTGGTAGAAGTTGAAGTGGAAAAAATTTTGTCTGTAATTCTACATGACAATTTGACAACTTGCCATATATGTGAGATTGGTTTGTGATTATTGTCTAGATGGAAAGTTTGATTAATGGTTTTTATGATTTGTTCTGTTGCTTGTAATGCTTCCAGATATTTAAAAACATGTTAAATGTCTTTAGTGTGGAGTTCGCATTGTGGACAGAGAATATCTAGATATTGGTTAGAGTATAGTTGGTAAAGTATGAGATGAGTTGAAAAAGTTTCCGAAAGCAGTTTAACTTTAAAGACTACTAGAGTACTGTACTTGTTGTTATGAAACTTTCTGATGTTTTTGTTGAATTGATTGATAACTTTTAGACCATGCGGAATATGTGTTCGTTCAAATGTTTGGACGATTGAGGAGCTTTTACATATCATATAGTTTTTGGTGATACTGAAAATTTTCTTGTATTATCTGATGCTACTACCTAGGTAAGTATTGTTGATTAAGGGATTTTCAGGAAAGTGTAGTAGAAGATTGTTCCATTGAATAGTTCTGGTTGATATTGGTCTGGATTTATTATACTTTAATTCTTTGAATATTTCAATAAATAATTTTATATTAACAATATTTGAAATAGTTATAATAGAAAATGATAAAATTGTTTAGATATTTAATAAATATTATAAAATTTCATGGTTTAGTAATGTATTGATTAAAATGAACTTCGAAGAATTATGTAACTATATAACAGATAATGAAATTTGTTATAGAAAGGTAATTATAATTATTTAAAATATAAAATTTATTTTATTTTAAAACTAATATAATTTTTTTAGGTTTTATTAATAATAAAGATAAGTAAAACAAAAAAAAAACTCTCACCTATTCACCACTGATTTTTTGAAAATTTCTTTTTTAGAAAATCTTCTTTCAAGAAGCGTCACCCTCTCTTTAATTTTTAAGGCAAATAAGCTTTAAACCTAAAGGACATAAAGACTTTAAGGAATACTGTTGCATTGGGATGGGACCTCTGGTCAAGACCTAAGCAAGTTGAAAGTCTTCCTTAGCTCTTGATTGCATGGGGAAAGGCCCGTGGCAGCCTTTCTTCATAATTTTTTGTCTTTAAGTACCTTCTCCTTTATAACCATGATAATTGTTTTTTCCCTTATCTTTTCTTCTCTATAATACAAATTTAATTCCAACAATACATTCAAACAAAGTTACTGGATCTAATGTTTGTCTTAACACAACCTTTGAAAATTTATTATCTTTCTCTTCCATCTAAAATCAATACCACATGTCACTTCTTTACTATCCTATAACTTTTCTAAATTTACTCAAAAAACCGCAATCAGTTTCACCCTATCCAAAGATCTACACCCAACAAACAACCAATAAAATATCTCCACTCCTTAACAACAATATCAAATCTGTTTAAACTCGTTTACAACCAGTTCTCCAATAAAATTCTCACACACAACAACAACAATAACAATAACAACAATAACAACAACAAATGATCAACTGACAACCTACCGGATTGGGAGAGTGCGTGACCTGTGCCCTGCGCGAATTCCGGTAATCTTTACTTAACATGTATTTAAACAACACAACAATCAACTGGAGCTGGGCTCTAGTTATCCAATTCATATATATTTCAATCACAACACTCCTTTTTCAATCACATAACCAACTTATATTATCTCAACAATGGAGTTGCGCCCCATAAGCAGCAAGTAAAATATCAGGGAGTTGCACCCCATAATCTGGCAGCTTATATCAGTGCTCCTCTACTGCTGCTGGAGTCGCGTCCAGCTATCGAAAAGGAAGCGATAACCTAGGTAGACACATTTGGTTTGTGCCTTGCGAGAGGGATTGTTGATTTAAAGATAATATGTCTCCAAACTCTAACACATATTACCTCTATATAACTATTCCATTCAAAACATACCCAACTATATATGGTTTCAGGGAGTGATTAACCCTGACTTTAAACTCAATATATATAATAATTTCACGTCTACGCATTTTATTTTTCAAATCATTAAACTGACACACTCTTTTAATTAAGGCGATCTTGCCTCTTTCTTCATATACGTATATTAGTCTATCACCTATTGTAGTAGATATGTTTCTAAATAAAAAACCTTGAGGCAGGGAAAAGTAAGAAAGGAACTATCTACAATATTAATATACTGTATATCAAAATTTTTTTATAACTTGAAAATAATCAATTTGTATAAAATAACTATATTATCTTTATATAACAAAGTATTATAAAGTTAAATATTTCATATTTATTCTGTTTTATACTTGTATAAAGCTTTATTTAAATACTTAAATAATATGGTTTTAGATACAAACCATTCTATATAATATGATTGTTTTGTTTTTAACTTGAGTTTTAATAATAGTTAAAAAAATCAATACTAAATAATCAAATTATATTCTCTTTTTATACTTAAGTTCTAGTAATAATTAGAAAGACAATACTAGATATTGAATAAAAAATTGATTTTTATTAATAATGTCTAGTCAAAAAAACAGCTATTCAAATATTTGAAAGAGTTACTTAATTGAAATATAATATAAAACAATCTTTTAATTTACTTAATTCTGGCTTGCCAAATATTATTTAAGATTACAGTATAGATTTTGATTTTTTTTTTATATTTCTTGAGTAATGCTAAGAGGTACAAAAAATTAACCATTTTTTTAAGCCTTGCATTAAACTCTTCTTAGCAAAGAAAAACATGTCATGCTATGTATATTGTAATATTGTACTACAAGTCTAAAATTATAATAATAAATAAAATGTGAAAAATATAAATCAAAAAAAAAATAATTGATATTTTATATTTTATTATAATAATAATAATTAAAAATTATTAAAAAATTTTATATGTTGAAAAGTTTAAAATTAATTTTTATATTTTCAGAAACAACTGTCTTTGAAAAAAAACAAATAATTTACAAGACTATGGTGTTATCAGTATTGAATTTTTAAGGGGCAACCACCATAGAATATTAAAAAATTATTTTTGAAATAATTATTTACCCAATAATAAATCACATCACATTTTGTAATCATGTCTTTTCCCGACCGATATGTAGTTTCTGCTCCCGGGAAAGCGATTCTATTTGGAGAACATGCTGTTGTCTACGGGAAGGTACGCTAATATAAGATCACAGCATTATCATAGCTTTCGTTAATTTCACTTTTTTTAGACGGCGATCGCTGGAAGTCTAGAGGATCTACGAACATATATGTTGTTTGAAAAACGTCTGGACGGTTATCTCGAGTTGAACTTTCCCGATCTCGATCTTCAGTATGCTTTATTATGGCCAGAGTCGGCCCTGCCACACCACCTCGTAGAAATTGATGGAAAAGGTGATTTACTTTGCGCGTTTCGACACCAAAGATATATTCGTACTCAAGAATTTATTCAACATTAGAACAAAAAGACATGGTGCTCAATGAAAAACTGCTGCAAGCTTTAAAACCCATTGTTAACGAAGGCGGCGAGAAGAATAACATACCATTAAATGGACTTCAACAAGTTGCCTCCTTGGCTTTCCTATACCTTTATACAAATATTAGTAGCAAACAGACATCCTGGTAATTTACAAAAAAGAAGGCAGACTGTTTTCCATTATAATATAACAAATCATTTATCTGTCCGATGCTGCACAGGTGTGGCATGACCGTACATATTCGTTCGAATTTACCCGTTGGTGCCGGATTGGGTTCATCCGCTTCATATTCAGTTTGTTCGGCTGCCGGATTATTACTCGCTCTTGGTCATATCTCTCTTCCTCACACGGTCGAAACGAGTAATAACGATCTGAATTCAAACGTTGCATCGGCAGAATTAATCAATCGATGGGCGTTTCAAGTGGAAAAGATAATCCACGGGAATCCCTCGGGGATTGATAATTCGGTGGCGACATTCGGTAATAATGATTACTTGTTTTTGTCAAAATTGTGTACCTCGGATAAACTATTTATGGGATTTTATGTTTTTATAAAAGGAGGAGCAGTTTCTTACAAGAGGGGATCACAACATATCAACTTGGCGGGGTAAGAATTGATTTTATTATCGCCTTTGTTTTTTATTGCACCAAATGTTTACGTGTAATTGAAATATATTGTAAGATTTCACTCTTTCCGTTTCTTACTAATCAATACCAACAAACCACGCGATGCCAAAACACAGATAGAAAATGTCAGGATAAAACGTGATAAAGTAAGTCCCACCAACATTATCGGTTCATTTTTACGTGGATTGATTTCTCACTCGTTATTTCTAGTATCCTGATATTGTCAATCCTATTTTGGACGCTATTGATGCGATTAGCATGTCATTAATAAAACTTCTGGAAAGTGGAGGTAAAAATTGAGTTAGATATTTTCCATATAAAACGAAATTTTCTGATACCGGAAAAAATAATTTCAACCAGCTTCTCAACAGAAAATGCTTAAGGAGTTGGAGGTCTGTGATATTCATTGTGAATTAATCAAAAGAGAGTATGATGTTAACTTTCTCCCGTTAAATAGGATCTTATTGATTTGAATCATTACCTTATAAATTCCTTGGGTGTGGGTCATCCGTCACTTGAAAAAGTTCATGAAATAACCACACGATTTAATTTGCATTCAAAACTTACTGGAGCTGGTGGCGGAGGATGCGCGTTAGTTTTAATTCCAAATGGTGGGTCATGAATGCTGTCGAATAACCATAAATCAAAAGTGAAATTAAAACTTTATCCTTTAATTTTAATAGATTTTCCTGACGAAGATATGAAATCAATAAAAGAGGTATTTTCACAGAATGGATTTGATTATTATGAAACACGTTTCGGAGGACACGGATTGGCAGCAATGGATGCAACAACCATTTTCACTTGTTCAGAGGAATTTTTAAAAATCGAGAAAAAGAATTTTCGACAAATGGTTGGGTGGAAATATTTTGTCTAATTTTCAGAATGACATTAGTTTCCATCAGATTTAAATTTTTCACTAACTTATTTATTAATATTCATGCATGAATCTGTAATAAAACTATATAATCAAATAACGTGAGCTTGTATGATAATCTTTCACACAATTACTTCTTTACCTGCAAGTGTTTCCCTACCAACGAACCTTTCGTAAGCGCTGTGTTCGAAATCAGAGATTATGATAATAATTATTATCCTTATTCATTTTTAAAGAGATGTTTTATTTATATAATAATAAAAAATGGCATTAATTATTGGCATCAAATGTTAATAAATAATTAACATTTATTAAATAAGATAACCACGGTCATAATTATTCGACTGTATTTATAAGTGGAAGAATGAAACTATGATATTGGAAATGAATTAAATGAATATTAGATAGATGTAAAAGGTTCAAATATGTTTAATTATTTTCGAAGGCGGACAGGGAGTTTGATTTTTCGACACCTACCTTTAACAATATGACAAGGGGGTACTATGCGGTTTGAGCCGAATCAACTCGAATGATTCGAATATCCCTGAATTTGAATTCAAATA